GACAATGGCCCAGTACCTGAGGTGCTGCAGGCGGGGAAAGGATCCCACCCATGCTGTCAGCGGACGTGGGCGACATGGCGGGTGGGAACAATGTGCGGAGGTCCAATGAAGCCTATCAGCACAGTGCAAAGGGAAGGACGAGCATATAACGTACCTGAAAAATTGCCTCAAAGTCAAATGCGTAGAGGATGAGAATGAGAGGGATGGAGGATGAGTGTGGTCCGCAAAAGAAAAGGATTGCACTACACGTGCTCGCCTGATGTCGACCTGAAAGTATTTGCAGCCTACTGCACTACGTGAACGCATGTGTCCGGTTGTAAAGCTCTTTGCGGGTCCATTCCCGTTTTGACAGGTCTGACGGCCTGTCGCGACGGCTACCGACCCGTCTGTCGGGCGGTTTTACCTTTCTTCAAAACGGACGGGTACGTGACGGCTTCACCCGTTAACGGCTAACCCATACCCAGCCGTCGACGGTTGGCAGGTGTTGCCGAGGGTTATGTTCGGAGCAAGCCAGCCGAACACTCATATTGGTGATGAGATCAATTATGCCGTGAAACCGAGGTTGCCGGTTTGCTGGCACTTACTTTGAACATGTGAAACTCACGGTCAGATGATATTTACAACCATAGTGAAGATTTAACATTCCAGCATTGAGTGGTACCCCACTAATCACTCACACCTGGACAAACACCTATCTCATGTCCAATCTGCCCCTATCTCATGTATTGGTACAATTTTTACTTGACATTGACATGCAGAAATCTTCACAGTACTCACTCGCCTCGAAGTTCCTAATTCATGTGTTCTCCTGCAAGATGTGGTATGGATGCAAACTCATATGGCGAAATTAGACAGGTTGCACAAAAGCCGCACGAGCCGCATGCAGCTTTTGTGCATTGCGCAAAGCCGTAAAGTTTTCCCGGTGTTTTCAATTGTTTTTTCTATTCATGATTAACCAATGGCACTCTAACCTGTAATGCAACGACCAAAAGTCATATGTAATGGATGCGGAAGCATGGGAGGCCGTTTTTCTGACGCATAATGCTTGCATCACTCGAGCCCCACTCACCTTTCCCACACTTTTCGCAGCTTGCACACGGCAAATGAAGTGCCAATAGAGTTGATTCACCTACCAGGGCCTCTCCCTCAACTCTGTTACCTTCTCATTGAAAAGGTTCCTTGGGGCACCTCAAAAAAAAAAGAATTCCACGCGGCTTTGCGCAATGCACAAAAGCCGCATGCGGCTCGTGCGGCTTTTGCGCAACCTGTCTATTGTTGCTGATGAATTTTTTATGTGTGCCATAGTCGATGAGGGCATTTCCTCCGGGGGCATGACAATTTTATCACACAAGTATCAAGGCATAGACAGTTCAAATTTCGATATTTCTGAAAGCCCAATTGCACTTAGTGAGAGCAAGGAAAGTATGGATAAGTTTACTGCAACTGACATGATTTAAAAAATCAAAAATTAAACACCATTTATACCCGCTGAAACGGCCGTAATGGGTTCGACAAACGGGACCCGTCCGTCGGGACCTCTCAGAAGTGCCGTCGACGCATGGGTGGACCCGTCCTGTGGTTGAAAACAGCCATCACATTTAACGAACGGGTCGGAGCCCTATTCGCGGGATCATGAACGAGTCTGACACCGATGAACATAAGTCTTCAATTGTGAAGGAGGTTACAGGCTGTAAATGCCCCGCCGTGACATGAAGTTAAACAGCACTGTTGAACGCATGAGTACCATCATGAAGGAGCCTGCTGGCCCTTGAACCTTTGACTGTATTGTGAAGGCAAGAGAAGACCACTGAAGGTTACGTGGTGACCCATGAATGATATGTGAGCATTGAGTGAACGGTGGGGGGGACAATGAAGGCTCTGTGTTTCAGTGAAGAAGTGCTTGTATCCGTCATGATAGGGAGAGACGTTCAGGTATGTACAACTCGTGAACATATGTTCTGATCGTGAACATTATTTCCGGCGGATACGCCGTATCCGGTGTTTCCGAATCCTCTATACATTCATCGTTCTCGCTTCGTTGCACCTCGCCGGAGCTTTAAGGGATGAACTATTTTTGTTTTTGATCCTCGCGGCCATGATGGATACCGTCGGAGAGTAACGACGAGAACGGTGGGAGTGGAACTCGGCTAAAACTTGTTTAACATCGGCTAACGTCGGCTAGTGACTTGTGAGTGGGACTCGTCCTCCGATGAACACGGACAGTGGGACTCGCGTATTGCGGCGATCACTACATCAACGTGCCACCGTAACTCGAAATAGGAACTAAAAAGTGAATAAATCATGTTTAAAAATCAGAGAATGCTCCACGCAGTGGGCCCCCGCGGCGAGCGGAGGCACCACGCAGTGGGCCCGGCGAGCGTCAGGGGGTCCGCGGGGGTCTCCCCCGCGCATCAGTAATTATTTCAGCTCATATTTAGCTGAGAAAAAGCCCCAAACGGCCTATATTAATTTTTGTGGACATGCCGTCAGGCTAGAGGAGGGGGCTCCGGGGGGAAAAATTTTCCCCCCAGCGTAAAATACTCAATAGGAGCCCTTAAACCACCTTCACCACCAGAAAACACCCAAATCCACGCCCGGATGCCGATATTGATCTCTTGATGCGAAACTGATGCGAACTGATGGGAGTGGGACTCGCTTAATGTGGGCGAGTCCCACTCCCACCGTTCTCGTATATACTCACCGTCGGATATTCCGCGATCACGGCGTAAACTGCGACGCGTCACTTTTCCGTGACTCAAACCAACAGCGCTCGGGCCCAAGTCAGCGCGTGGGTTCCGCTGCGGCATAACTTGACCATCCGACGGCAGATGCGAGTTGACACCAACCGCTCACGGTTCACCCCATAATTCGACATGAATATTTTAGGTAATTATTTTACTATAAAGGGCGCAGTCACTGTGGAGGTCTGGACACTAAAATCACCATGCCCCGACCATCAGCAGCCGCCGCTGTTCTGCTCTTATCCAGTTTCGCTCTCACCTCAGCGGTGTCGGATTCGCAAAGTAATTGCCTCTCCCTCAAAGCGAGTCTCCATCTCGAAAATACCACAATCCTTAACACTACATACATCGCCGCGCCCACGAATATTACGACCCCCGGCATCTGCCAGTCAACCGCCACAGTCACCTCCGCGCCTCTGTGCCGCGTTCAGTTCGTCGTCAACACCACGTCAAGCTCTGCAGTCCATGCCGAAGCGTGGCTCCCCGATACTTGGTACGGCCGATTCGTGGAGGTAGGCAACGGTGGCCTGGGAGGATGTGTGTTTTCTCTAAATTCATGCAATCACACGAAATTAATTCCCAAATCTATTTGCAGGCATTGACTACTCCGCGCTGGACTACACCACTTCCCTCCACTTTGCGTCGGTGGGCACGGACAATGGGCATGACGGCGGCGGCGGCGCCGACCCCGGCGACGCCCACCAATTCCTCAACCATCCAGAAGTAATCAACGATTTTGCGTTCCGCGCCATTCACGTCGGCGCAGAGACAGGAAAACAAATTGTGCAAGCCTATTACGCTCGGGCGGCGACGAAATCGTATTTTCTGGGATGCTCGACGGGCGGGAGGCAGGCTGCGCAATCTGCATTGAAGTTCCCCGACGACTTCGACGGTATCTTGGGAGGCGCGCCGTCGACGGACTTCAATAACGCGATGGGTGCAGGCGGGATGATATCGCGCTACTTCGGCGCGCCTACCACGCCCGCGGAGGCGTCTCCGAAATGGATCCCGGCGGACCTGTGGGATCTGGTCTCGAAGGAGATTCTACGACAGTGTGATACGCTCGACGGCGTAGTAGATGGGATTATCGCGGACCCGGATGAGTGCGAGTTCCGCCCCGAGGCACTCCAATGCACCAGCGGTGAGACAGCAGACTGCTTGACGCCAATTCAGGTTGAAGCGTTGCATAATCTGTACAGTCCTCTGTATGACTTGAAGGGCCAGCTCCTCTACCCTCGGTTCCCACCTGGTGCGGAGGCAGACCCCCGTGCAGCAGCGAAAACTCCTGGGATGGTCGCCTTCGTTTCGGCACGTCCTTCACTTCATCAGTAAAGTCTGACGGGAATTGACGCGAAGATGTTTCAGAATTGGTTCCGGTTTGCGGTGCTCAACGTCACGGAGCACGATTTCTCCGACTTTGGTTTGGCTGATATCGAACTGATGGACGAGATAAATCCTGGCGGCATAGCCACCTTCAACGGCGACCTCTCCGCATTCCGCAACCGTGGCGGCAAATTCATCACCTACCACGGAAGCCGTGACCCAGTACGTTTGAATTTAATTCCAGCCAAAACGCGATCTGATCATCAGCAAAGCTTCTACCTGTAACAAACTCAAAGCGCGTATACGATTTGATAGCGCACACCCTGTCCCTTCCGTTGCTGGACGACTTCTATCGCCTCTTCTTAATCCCTGGGATGGGGCACTGCGGCAACGGGCTTGGCGCGAACGCCTTCGGGCAGGGTATCCTCGGCTTCGGGGTGGATGGGATCGCCGTGAACGCCTCGTCGCATAATATTCTACTGGCACTCGTGGACTGGGTCGAGGGGGGAGTCGCGCCGGAGACGATAATTGGGACGGCGGCGGATGGGAGCGTGCGCACGCACTGCAGGTACCCGGAACGCAGTGTGTGGGACGGGACCGTGTGGATTTGCAGCGATTAGCTAGCCATACTTCCCGCATTGCGCGAGCATTTGGAACCAAGTAGCCATCTTCGTCACTTACTTCGCTTATTTCGCTTATTTTCACGAAACCTCGTCACCAGAGATCGGCTCGTTCGATTCGAGTCCGAGCCCTATAAAGACAGTGGATTTTCTTTCCCCGTGCACTTCATTGAACCCTGGCAGACCTGCTATTTTTTTTTGTTTTATTTGACGTTTGCAAGGTTCAGTTTATCCAGTATCAATTTCGTTACAACTGGCACCCACCTCTTGAAAAAAAAATCGGGATATTTTGAGTCAGAAGGGGGTTGGTTGTGAAGGCTTGGTGGCGGATGGTCCGCATCTGAAACTTGTGGCTTGTAAAAGGTGATGGATTACGTAGATGGTTGCTCGTTCAAATCGAGCCTGAGCCATGAGGGGTAAGTAGTAGTTTGGCATGAGTTCCATGAACGCAATACGCTTTATTGAACCTTCATCTGCTTGCAAATATTGTTCAACTTGTATCTTCACTCTCGGCTGAATCGAATTTAAATAACTTTGCCCTTGAGTTCAATTTTGCACGCACCTCTTATGTACAAGTGTATTGTTCAGATATCGCAAGGCAGAAGGTGGTATGCGAGGCTCGGCCGCGGATGGTCCGCCTCTGGGACATGTTCATGACGTGAACCAAAATCTTCCGCAGGAGTCTATCGCTCATTCAAATCAAGCCTGAGCCATTTGCAGAAATTAGTATTGTTTTTTTCTTTCTCTTTTTTTTTTTTTGGTTTCCCACAAGCAATGACCGAGATCCGAGACCGATTTTTCTCTTGAGCCTTGTGCTGAGCGCAAGCGAGGATAGCCCAAGTTTCATGATAGTTGGAAGAGATTTATAACAGTCTGGAAGTTAGGTTCAATTTCTCAACGCAAAGTCGTTCGATTCTCCAGCTTAAACCTGCTCCAAAGTCAGTGGGATATTACCAGTTGGAAGATGGTATGTAAGGCTCGGTGGCGGATGGTCCGCATCTGTAACTCGTGGTTTTGAGGGCATCAACGGTGTTACGCAGATGGCTGCTCGTTCGAATCGAGCCTGAGCCATAGAAGTGCTGAAATTGCGATTTTTATTTTTATTTGCTCACCCGACTTCCATGAACACACTACGCTTTATTGGATTCAAGCGGACCTTCTCGGATCTTCTTCTTCTATCCGCACTCTTTTTTGTTTTACCTGATGTCCGCACTATTCAATTTATCTAAGTTAGCATCAATTTCGTTGCAACTGGCACCCGCCTCTTGAAAGAACATTGGGATATTGCCAGTTGGAAGGTGCTATGCAAAGGCTCGGTGGTGGATGGTCCGCATCTGCAACTTGATACAGGTCAAGTAGCGTTACGCAGAAGATCGCTCGTTCGAATCGAGCCTGAGCCATCAACAATTGGATGACAGCTTTTTTGCTTGCTTGACTTCCAGGAACACACCTAGACGTTTTATTGGACTCCGATGGACCTTCATCTGCACGCAATCTTTGTTCAACTTGTATCTTCACTCTCGGTTGAATTGATATTTGATTAAATAACTTTGACATTTAGCTAGTTCAATTTTGCGCACACCTCTTACTGTAAAAGTGTGTTGTTGAGATATTGCAAGGCAGAAGGGGATGCAAAGGCTTTGTGGCGGATGGTCCGCATCTGCAAATTGTGTGCCCAGCTGTGAAACGAGCTGCGCAGATGGTTGCTCGTTCGAATCGAGCCCGAGCCATGAGGGGCTCGGAACAGCAGTAGTTTTTTTTTTTTTTTTTTTTTTTTTGCTGGCCTGACTTCACTACAACTCCGATGGATCTTCATCTGCTCGCGAATTTGTCCAACTTGGTTCTTTTCACTCTCGGTTGAATTGATATGTCATTACTTAACTTTACCATTTAGTTAGTTGAATTTTACACACACCTCTCAATAAAAGGGTGTTGTTCAGATATAGCAAGGCAGAAGGTGGTATCCAAGGCTCGGTGGCGGATGGTCCGCGTCTGCGGCATGTGGCGAAGTAAGGCCGCCGTCATAAACCTTACGCGGGAGATCGCTCGTTCGAATCGAGCCCGAGCCATACACCGCCATTTGGCAAACACCTGGCGGGCAGGTGCGGTTGACATGTGCGATACATGGTGCGGGAGACTGGCAGCCAGCTGAGAACAAGCTGATCTGAGGTTAAATGACGTATGGCCCCACTATGGGGCCAGGTCAAGCTGGCGGCCAGCTGTCGAAGGAGGCTGGTATTTAGCTACAGGAGCACATGTCTCCCTTCATCAGCAATTTATTCCCCGTCGTCCGCCGTACTGTAATGCATGGTTGAATGAGAGATCCATTGCATGAGATGATTACAAGTAGGACGACTACATAATCTGTTACACGTCGGCGTCGCCTTGAACGGCAGTCGCCACATCCATGGCTTCCGATGTCGCATGAGGTCGACCTGCTACTGGGATTCGTCGCCCGCCTTGTCGTCAAGTACAACATCGTTCTCGCCATGTGTTCTCTGGTTCTCGTCCAGGACGTAGCCTAGAGAGAGCCGTGAATCAGACCAATCTAGTGATAAGAATTATGGAACGTACTTCGTGATCTTCTCTCGGTCAACGTCAACTTCATTGCGAATTTTCGCGGGACGACCGTCCATTTGTCCCGGTAATTCTTGCCTCGAACTTGAGGTAGATCTCGAAACGGAATCGAGACACTTGGAACGGGGTGCATAAAACATACCACATGATCGTGAGCACGAGCGGAAGACCAAATGTCAAATGTTCAGGGCTTGGAAGAGATTGGGGGGAGTGTGAGAGCAGAATGCTTGCATTGAAACAAGGTAAACTTGAAACTTGCAGAGGAAAATATACATAAACTTGAAGCTTGAGGTGAGAAAAGGTGCGAGGATTTTGAGAGAGCAGCTTTGAAGAGAATTTCAGGTCATCAAGACAAGACTTGACGACTTGAGGACCGAATTTGAAGTAAGAGAGTGACATACAAGTCGTCGGACGTTGATTATCCGCGGCGGCGAGAATCGACTCAGTCGTGGCGGCAACAGTACCGAGTGCGCAAGGCATAGGGAAAGGAGGGAAGGCTGAGCCCGCCCGTCCTCTGCAAAGCAACGGGGGAGACGAAGTGTTACAATGCCGGGGCGTAGGTCGGGGCTGACGATCTTGAGGGTATCATCACGACTGTGCATCGTAACAGCAAACAGGGAGAATAGGCTGGTCGCTATGCTCCTTTCTGTATGGCGCATCTTGCATTGTTTCTTGAACTCTTGGAAGTTATGAGTGGAAGTGGGAGGAAGGAAAGCGCAAGATGCGAGCAACATGCACGTGATGAGATACACTGCCAAACAAGCGCACGGACCTCGCTTCGATTTCAATTCAATCACAAACCAACTAACCACTATTGAAGTCCAAACAGACGAAAGTGTCATGAAACAAATTCTTCTGAGTATGTCTTTGAACCGCGGTACCCACGACTCTTGCGGAGTCAGCAGTTCAACGGCACAAGATTGAACGGTGTTCAAGAGTTGGATGTGATTCAATGTGGCAGCGGAATACAGATGGTACGCAGTTACGCTCTTCGGAGTTCTGAAACGGGACGACGCAAGGCTCGTCTCCCTGTATGAGCGGGCTGAATTGTGTCCTGGACTTAAAATGCCTGGAAGAGGGCTGGCAAAATAATGTCGTAACCAGGTGGAATGCAACTGGTGGACAGCTGGAATTCTGGATGGAATTTGCAGCTTGTATCCTCCTGGCATCAAGTTGGGGCCAGGTATCAAAATATGTGGCCATAAGGTGGGCCCTCCAGATGGTGGAAACCTGTTGGCACTTTGGCGGTGTATGGCGGATAAGAGGTGGGTTTTCTTTATTTTTATTTTTATTTGGTTTCCCATAAGCGATGACCGGATGACCGATGGCCGAGACATGTCGAAGACCAATTTCTCTGCTGAGCCTTATGCTGAGAGCAAGCTGATTCAATGAGGGTTGGAACAGTTTTTATAATTTCAACGCAAAGGTGTTCAATTCTCTGAATCCAACCTGCTTCAAAGTTGGGATATTGCCAGTCGGAGGGTGGTAATGAAGGTTCGGTGGCGGATGGTCCGCATCTCCAATACCTGGGAATTGGGGAAAATAACCCGCTTGTTACAGCAGAAGGTCGCTCGTTCGAATCGAGCTCGAGCCATGAGGCCAGTGTTTGGGGCTTTTTCGTCTGACTTTTGTTTCAGACAAGCGATGACTAGATATGTCTAAGAGTAGGCGTTTTTTATGTTTGAGTCGGTGAACGCAAGGCAAAATTGGGACAAGTTCTAGATTCAAGTTACTTTTGCCTTTGTAATTAAAAGTGCGGGACGATTGCTAGTAGTTGGACTCCCAATTTTCAAGGCGTTCAATTCTCGTGTTTCTGCTCAAGAGCTGCTGGGATAATACGAGTCGGAAGGTGGTAATGAAGGCTTGGTGGCGGATGGTCCGCGTCTGTGACACCTTAGTTAGCTGCGTTGTTAAGTATGCAGAAAACCGCTCGTTCGACTCGAGCCCAAGCCATGGATAGGCGGGTATGGATTTTTTTTGTTATTCTCGGCACAACAATGTCTGCTGAGCCCACGGACGTATTTTGTTCAAAGGTGTTTGAATTGGTGACGGGTTTGTGGCGATAGGTGGCGATGATGGATCTCCGCCGAGTCGCTTCTCCAAAGGGTTAGAGTCTATTAGCCTAACTTAGAGCGCTCATAGTCTCTTCTGCTCAGCTCTCTCTCTTGAACGTCTTCTTGTTTTCATGCTTGTTGCCATGCTACGAACGCGGGGCTTTGGACAGACGGAACTGCTCTTGTGAAACGCTGACAGGCCATGTCTCAGATCCCGTGACTCATCTCGCCAAAACCCGCTCTCCTCCTGCCGCAATGGCAATTTTGTGAAATCTCCTCGTCGTTCCTCCCAGCGGCCAAGGCCCTTCTCACAAAACATTTTACTCTGATGCACATGTCCCCACGTAATCCATGCTCGACCACTACTACACCCCGCGCGATCTCCCCCTCGGTCCCCAAGACCGTCTCCTCAACACCATACCGCTAGACCACCTAGACCCCGACGCCGCCATGCTCGCCACCGACATCGACGCAGCGAAGCCCCGCCCCGCCCCGAGCGGCGCCGTCGTCGACCTCGGCGCGCTCGAGCACTTCCTCGCGTTCGACTGCGACTCGGACAGCGAGAGCGGGAGCGACGACGGGTACGTGTCGACGCTGCTGCGTATCCAGCGTGCGCCTGTGCCCGTACCCGGAACGGCGCGGAAGGTCGCCGGCGCGCGGAGGGTGGCACGCGCGGTGTCGATGCCGCAGCCTGTGCGTGCTGCTACGACGGGGAGCATGCCGCATGTGGGGCGGACGATGGACGTTGATGCAGTGCATGGGCTGGACTTTGACTGGGGTGCGCGCGCAAGTCCGACGGAGACGGTGACGGCGACGAACGCGCAAGCGGGGCGCAGCGCGCCCGAGGGCGAGCTGTTCCAGAGCATCACCGCCATCCCCGGGCTCGAGAGCACCAGTTTCGAGGTGTGTTGCGCTTTCTCCTTTCCTATTTTCTTTCCTCCTTTTTTCTTCTCCTCCTTTTCCGGTGTGCACGGCATAACGACGAATCGACGTATTGCGCCATCGTTGCGCCTCTTTCTAATTACCTCGCTACATATTGACACATGTCCTCGTTTCGCTACTCGCTGCTCGCTGTCCTTGTGCAGTCAACGCTCCTCCCTTCGTTATTGTTTCTTCATCTACATACTTGTGTGGGAGCGACGCAGGCGCCGTCCTCACTTCTCCACCCCTCCCCTCCCTCACCGCCTCCCTCGCTGCCACCCCTCCCTCCGTTTCACTTCCTCTCCTCCCCCTCCCTCCGTTTCACTTCCTCTCCTCCCCCTCCCTCCGTTTCATTTCCTCTCCTCCCCCTCCCTCGCCTCCCTCCCCCCTCCCTCCTTCCCCCTTCCTCCCTCCCTCATCTCTCCGTTTCACCTCCCCCTCCCTCCCTCCTCCCTCCCTCATCTCCCCTTCCCTAATCTAACCCCCTCCTCCCCTCCTAGGAACTCCGCCTCGAAACTTACCTCCAATCCCTTATCGCGACCGGCACCGCGCGCCCCCCGCCCGCCAGTGCCCGCGCGCTCGTTATCCCGCCGGCGTTCGTCGCGCCGCTTATCGACGTCGAGGGTGACTCTCCTGACTCTGGCCCTGACGTGGGCGGGGCGGGGGGTGGGGATGGGGATGTGGATGGGGATGTGGAGATGACTGACGCTGACGCGCTTCCGGACGTGGGGGTTGTACACCCACAGGCAGAGGCGGAGGCGGGGGTGCAACAGGAAAGAACGACACGGGACCCGCGGCTGCAGAGTCGGGACCCGAGGGTGAGGCCCGGGGCAAAGGGGATGGGGACGGGGACGGGGGTGGAGGCGCCGATGGGGATTGCGCGCGCGGCGTCGTACCCGCCCGTACAGTCGCAGCAGTGGGGGTGAGGCGTCGACGTTCTCCTGGTGCGCGCTCACGCTTTTGCGCTACGCCCGGGCTACCTCGCTCGCCTCGTCCGTTCCCCTTATCCCTTTCTCACTATCTTCTCTCCTACCTTCCTCCTTCCCTGTCTCTCTCTTCCCCGTCTCCGCGTTGCCCTCCCTTCCTCTCTTCCATCCATTCTATCTTCCACCCCTCCACCTTTATCTCTCCCATCCATCTTATCTACCCGAGTCCGCCCACCTACCCATGCCCTACTTACCTTACCCGAGTCCGCCTTATCTACCCCATGTCCTACTTGCTTACTTACTTACTTGCCTTCTATATACCGTTGTTGTTGTTTTGCGTTGTATGTAGAACTTATGTGAGTTGAATGAATGCCACTCCTCTGCTCTGCTCTGCTCTTTAAGTGTTCTCCGAGTCGTCGTCTGTGATCTTTAGTGCCGATTTTGACGCTCTCGAATTGCACCTGGAAGTGAGGGAGGTCAAAGCACCTTGGCACTGGCGTGCATCCGCGCACTATGGATGATGATATGCTCAGTTGGAGGCGGACCCCTCGTTCGATTCGGGGCTGGGTGATGGTGAGCTGTCGATACGTTTTTTCTTTCCTTTGGCGTCCATGGCGTGGCCTGCCGAGTCGTGCAAAAGCTGATTTGACGCGTTTCTCGTTCTTTGTCTACTCTTCCGGGTACACATCGATGCGACGATATCGATGCCAGCAGCCCAAGGCTTCCGATGCGCGCGTGGCAAGGTTGCCGTGACGCAGGCTCGAATCGTACCTCGACACAAGAGAAGACAAGCACCTTGGCACTGGCGTGCATCCGTGCAGTATGACGGTCGCAACTTTTGTTCGAGGCGGAACCCCCGTTCGATTCGGGGTTGGGTGATGTTGTAGTTTGACGATGCTTAATTTTTCTTTTCTTTTTTCGTACTCGCTATCTTGCCTTCCGCTCATCCCCGCAGGTCCGCATTGAAAGTCTCTTCTTTCCTCGACCAGATTCTCAAGATCTGAATCCTAATCTCGCAGTACTCGCAGGAATCTCGGTCGGACGACATTGATATCGAGGCTCACTAAAGACGGCCGCAGAAAAGTTGCACTCAAAAGCAATCCTTGAAACAAGAACTGACCCACGCCTCCCCCACAATGTGGGTTAGAGGTTAGGGTGGGGTTAATGTTTAGGGTGAGGTTAATGTTTAGGGTAAGGTATCTATATAAAAACAGAAAAGATACTACAGAAATGGGGCTCTAACGCGAGTTTCTCAGTCACTCTCACAGACGCGTCAACTTCACGTGATGGGAAAGTTCACGTGTATGTCATTGTGGGGGAGCCCAAGGGGGTTTTGAAACAAGGGAAGGCAAGCACCCTGGCACTGGCATGCATCCGCGGAAATTTAGGTGGACATCAAGCACCGTATAGGCGGAACCCCCGTTCGATTCGGGGTTGGGTGATAGCCATTGTAAGGCCGTTTTCTATATTTTTTTCGTGGCCTGAGCTCCGCATTCACTATCTTGTTTTTCCGCTCCATTACTTATTGGATATTGGATCCTCGCAGGTCCGCGAAGTCTCTTTTTTTTCCCCTCAGGCTGGATCGGAATCTGAAATCCCAAATCTCGTGGAGCAAAATCTCAGACGACATCGACGCTCAGTACTATAAAGATTGCTCTCAAAGCTACCTTCAACACGACGGAATGCAAGCACTCGAGCACTAGCGCGTATTCGCGAAATTTAGTGGGAGGCTACATAACGTTGAAAGCGGACCCCCGTTCGAGTCGGGGCTGGGTGATAAAAGGTCAAATTGGCGGTTTTTTTCTTTCCTTTTATTGGCTTCCGTGGCCTGCTGAGTTGTGCAAGGGTGCTTCAAGCTGGTTTGCATTGACGACAGCATGTTCTTGGTGCGTCTCAAAGCGTTGTTTGCTCCTTCATGACTACATCCCAGGAGCCCGGCTTCCAATGCGCGCGTTTGCTCGAATCGCGATATATACTAATCGCACCTCGACACCAGGGAATTGCAAGCTCCCTGGCACTGGCGGTGCAGGTCCGGCCATGTATGTATAGGCGGAACCCCCGTTCGATTCGGGACTGGGCAGTGATGCACAAGAGCAGTAGGATTCTTTTTGGCCTTCGCACTCGCTATCTTGTTTTCCGCTCATCCTCGCAGGTCCGCGAAGTCTCTTCTTTCTTTCCTGGATCAGATTCTGAAATCCTAATCTCGCGCAGCACTCGCAGGCATCGACACTCGCTAAAGGCGAAAAATTTGCTCTTAAAAACGTCCTTGACACAAGGAAAGACAAGCACCCTGGCACTGGCGTGCATCCGTGGAATTTGGGTGTGGATTTTAGGTGGAATAGGTGGAACCCCATTCGATTCGGGGCTGGGTGATGCCACTAGTGCTTCGTCCTTCCATTTTTTCTGATCTTTGAGTAACTCAAAATCATTGCCTTTTTCTCTCGTAGGTCAGCGAAGCTCCTTCTTTCCCCCAATGAATTCTGATTCAGAATCCCTCACTTCATGCTCAGGGGCAAAACTTCAGACGACGCGCGTGGCACGCTTTACGCCGGACTTGAACTGAAATTATACATTCATAGTCATTCCTATCACTGAGTACAAGCTGCATCTAACGGCTAAAACAACAATAACACCACCGGAGCTCCCACAGACCACGCTACGGATGTGGCTATCCCAATGGTGCCAGAGTTTGA